GAATGCAATATATATATATATATATATATATATATATATATATATATATATATATATATATATATTGACTCTACTTCCGAAAACCATTCCCTTGTGCGGCGGGGGGTGAAACCTCGTTGTGCTGGATTGCGTGAACCCGGTGGGCCGCGGAACGACCCGGAGGAAACAAAGAAAAAAAGGAATGTGAAAGACATTTGTGAAAGCCAGGCGGGCGAGCTGTGGCTCACATGTCGATGGAATGTTTGGTGAGGATGCAGAAGGCTCTGAATTACCCGTGGCTAGAACTAACCTGTATTGCCCGTATAGCGCCAACACTCACCGGCACATAGTACTGGCTGCGTTGCTGCTCCGCGGCCATCACGTTACGGGCATTGGGATAGGGGAGCGTCCTGCAAAAGGACGCGGATGAAGCAGACGCTGTGGAGGTCCTGGGGACGTAATGAGTCAACTGTGGTTGCCTCGCAATCCAGACGACGCACTCCGTGGCCACAGTGCGGCAGATGGACAGCTGCGTTATGGCTTTGTTATACCCACTGCAACGCGCAGTCACATAACATCCCAAGACCAGCAGCTGTGGCTGGTATATGCTTACGTCACCGGGCTCAACTCCCTGCTGTCGGCAAGCGCATGTGGCCGGCGACCCCGGACTGAATCTCGGCAGCTTCAGTTGCACCAACCAGTTTAATGGTAAAAGGCGCTTCGAGTCGCCGGCGATGCCTGATGCCCGCGCGGTCGCAGCTTGCACTTGTCCCCCTGTCCTCCAATCTGCTGTCCTCCTATCCTCTTGTCCTCTTGTCCTTCAATCCGTTGTCCTCTTGCTCTCCTGTTCTTTTGTCCTGTCCTCCAATCCGCTGTCCTCCTGTTCTCTTGTTCTCCAATCTGTTGTCCTGGCCTATTCTCCAATCCGCCAGCCGCTGCTTGTTCTTCAATCAGCTGCATCTTCTCCGTTGTGTTCGTCTCTGTGGACTTGTCTCTGGCGATAGTATTTTCCCAAGTTTCACGCCGGTGTGATGTCGACATTTCAGGGTGTTTTAGTCATGTTTTGGTGCTGTGACATCGCGTCTCGCTCATTCTCTAGCCTAAGTCTACAAACAGTGATTCTCAGTCTCATGCTCCGCCGTTTTGTTCAAATAAACTTTGTTATGTGACACTTAGTGCTTTGTCAATGGATGTCGTTCGTGTTCCGTTTGTTGACACAAAACGGAAATGAAAAATGTGGTTCTGGTACTAGGGTAATACGTTGGTTGGCTGCATTATTTGTTTGTGAAATCACGGCAGGGTGTACTCAGTAAGAAAAAAAACGTTGCGGCAAGAGAAGCGCATATTACGGGCGCTATGGCACGTGAGATCATGCTCCATCGGACGCCATTTTGAGCCAGGATTGTCATACAAGCCGTGTACCGTGGCGTCCCTGGGGAGAGCGAGCACAGTGTTTCGGCGTTGGCTGATTGCTTCACTGCTCGATCTTATGATGTGCTTGACATGCTCTACTTTTTTTACTGCAAACGCTGCAGCACGTTTAGGTCATGCTTACAGCACTGTCTTTGCAGTCTGCGGGCAGGGCAGCGGGGCTTTCCGGACTCACAGCTTTGGTCCTGGTCGGCCGCTTTCGCGCGGCCAGGTTCTCAGGGCGAAACCTAGGCCGTCTGCGCGACCTGAACGCTTCGGACAAAAGTTTCCACTTTGGCCGACGTGTCTTGTCGCTTATTGCATCAATGATGACAAATAAAAATGCGGTGAATTGGCCCGTTTCCAGCCATGAACTTTGGCATTGGGATTTGTACAGTACTTATGATGTATATAATGTGTATAGTCGTATAATCTATATAATATGTTAAATACTTCTGACTAAAGTATTGGGTTGAAAAACGGCTCATAACTATTCCTGGAAATAAGTGAGTGTTACATGAAAATGTGTTGCAAACATAGGCAGTTGGCAGATGTGAGAATGACCGCTTTTTTACCTTGAATATGGCATATTTGATCAATGCTGTGCTACTTAGTGATCGCCGCGCCAGGTTCCACCTTCCAAGGCACTATCACGGTTATGTCCTTCAGTCCCATGCTTGACTCGAGAACCTGGGTGGCATTCTAGGATGTATAGCAAATATTCCTAGATAGGCTCATTTGCTCCGTAATGGTAGCTGTCACTTAGCGGGAGATTCTCCACCGTATGAGCGCTAGGACCTTCTATAATGATCGTGAATTGCACACGTCAGGCAGCAGTCGTTTAGGCTTATGCTGCCAGCAAAGGACTTGGTGTATCCGCTAACAAGAAAACGGAACGAAAACGAAGAAATCAAATGAGAGAACTGAAAAAAACAGTATCGTTTTTAGTTACCTCCTGGCGAAATCAAAGCATTCGCCTAATGCGCTTGTAGGCTCACTGCAACGGTGAAGGAACGCTCGCTTGCGGTGTGACGGGTCCACGGCTGACGGAAGACAAATGCTAGTTCTGCTAGGTTGTATTAGTAAAGTCATGTAAGTTGTTCAGTGCATTAGCGGGGAACATTATTCACATAGATAAGACAGTAGTATTAGCCTTATTCCTCGGAAAAGACGGGAGAACGGAGATATAGTTGGTTTGACATTTCGGCATCATGGCTTTATCGAAACAATAGCAGAAGTCTTATGCGATTGTTTCGATAAAGGCATGTTGCTGAAATGTCAACCCAATGATATCTCCATCCTCCTGGTTTTCTCCAAGGAGTAAGGCTCATACCACTGTCGCAGTATAGTCATGCAATAATTGTTGGGCGATGTGATGACCTTATACGATGTCGAATTCGGCCCTGTCAGGTCGAATTGGACGGGAGCCAAACTAGCAATCAGTGCATCGCACTGTGTTCGGATCCTGTTGGGAAAGCATGTTGCATTGCTTTATTGAACGTTTCTGCTTGAAACTCGTTTTTATTGGAAAGTTCAGCTTCGCGGTTACGAAGTTTTGAGCTGGGTAATTATGCACAACATCAAACAGCGCATTCATTGTTGGTCTAGTTTTTCCCGCCTTGTCTTTCAAGTACACTTTGCTGCTTTCGTCGGTGTTTTCGGGGCGGGGGAGGCATGTGAACTGCTTTACTACTTTTTGTTGAAGTAATGTGTCCAACGCCACTGTTGGGCACGACATCGTTCAACGGTTTTACACTTTGATTCCCCAGAGGCTTTAGACTGGCATTCGCTGGCTCAAAAAGAAAAATTGCTAGACCACAAAGCTATAGTCATAGTGAATCGATGGAATTCATAATGGGCACTTCGTCTAAAATAGGTTAACCGCATACTTTTGACACAGGCTGCATAGATGTGCGTGGGGAATTTGAGCTGTAGTTACGTCTTTCAACACAATCATGGCCACGCACAAGCTGCTGGACGAGTTCGCAGACGAACACGTCCACCGTGTAGACCTGAATGGATCATGACTATGATCACGATATTGCATAAACAATAAAAACATATTCTGCTCGCATTGTTTATGCATCTAAATAGTGGTGTTGCAACCGTTGAACCATTGTTCGCTTAGGACCCTTGGCGGTCACGCTATCTCCCTGCCGGGCCAGGACTCCAGCTGGTTAACTACTATTCGTTATATATATATATATATATATATATATATATATATATATATATATATATATATATATAATGTGTGTGTGTGTGTGCATGTATATTTGGTTATTTATGATAGCAACAACTAAGCACGCGTAATAACCACAGAACGCAATATCTGTCAGCTCTGGTCATTAATACAGGACAAACGTGAAAGTCTATATTTTGTTCTGCATCATTTTGCGCATTTATATCGTAAACCAAAAAGGAATTTAACGGACAGCTGTGTAGTTGAATCTAATAAAAGACCCCGATATCTGCGTCATTTTTGTTCTGAGCTCCCTTTTGGTCGTTTTGAAATTAAAGTAAGTTGAAGTGGCTCGTGGGTAGTGCGGTTGGTATGGATTTTGTTTGTTCACTTTATGTTGTCGGCAACGTCTCGAGCTACAGATTTATGATAAGTGCATTCAGTGTGTATATGGATTGAATGTGTGTATTAAGATGGGCTAGAAATCTTGGTAAGACAGGTCGTAACTATTTCTCACTTTTCTTCGTTACAAGGCCCCAAAAATGAGTTGGTTAAAGCCGAAGGGGTTGAAGCGGTGGCATTGCTCCAGCTCGTAAAAGGCGGTCCTGTGCGATATCCGATCGACGAATTTGTGGTAGTATAGGTATGCCACTCTGCCGACAGAATGAGGTTAAGCGTAAATGTTTACACAACTTGCCGGCTAGGAATGCGTCTTTGCACGTGCCAAAGATCACGGTGCCACATCAAGAGCACGCGTCATACCGTACGCGCATCCTTTGTCCAAAATCAAGGTACTCACCCGTTGTAACGACGTGTTTAAAAACAGGACCTAATCGTGTCCGAACTCACCTGCAAGCATATGATTGACCTTGATACTTAATTATCTCCTTGCGATAAGGCTATATTGTCTCATTAAGGGCGTGCAGTCTCAGCAGCCTCGTCAGAGGAGTCGAAAACAAAGTCCTGCAATTAGTAATTTCACTGAGATCGAAAATACCTACGAGTCTAACTAACCCCCCCAAAAATTAGATGGGATTGGTATGTTCTGAGGTACGCAACAAGAAACCGTAAGCCTTTTTTTAACGGTTAGGCTGATCCAAGTAGTTTGACTTACTTTCCTTGCGTCCGTCTGGGCGGTTCCGTGTTGAGAACCGGAAGCAGGCGGCCGATGACGCGGGAAACAGGCGCTATCCCCCGCCTCTTGTTCTGTGCCCTCCGGCGCGCGCTGTCTGCAGTGGCGGCCGTCAGTGTTAAGCAGTCGGCCGATGACGCGGGAAACAGGCGCTATCCCCCACCTCTTGTTCTGTGCCCTCCGGCGCGCGCTGGCGGCGCTGGCGGCCGTCAGCGTTTGTATTCATAAAGCACTTGTCATAGCGTTTGCATGCCTTATCTTCGCCATCCTGCTAACACGCCGTGCCTCTGCCTGCAGCCAAAGTGCAGCAGCGGCTGCCGCTGTTCTACCTGGCCAACGATGTCATCCAGTACAGCAAGCGGAAGAGCCTGGACTTTGTGCCGTCATTCCAGACGGTGCTGGAGGGCGCCATGCCGCTCGTCAGGTCAGGGTGACTGGACTGGGGCTGAAGCTCGTGTGGTCACGTGTCGACTGGACTGGGACTGGGGCTGGAGCTGGGTCTGTCGAGGTCACGTGTCGACTGGACTGGGGCTGGAGCTGGGTCTGCCGAGGTCACGTGTCGACTGGACTGGGACCGGAGCTGGGTCTGCCGAGGTCACGTGTCGACTGGACTGGGGATGAAGCTCGTGTTGTCATCTGTGGACTGGACTGGGGCTGGAGCTGGGTCTGCCGAGGTCACGTGTCGTCTGGTCTGGGGTTGGAGCTCGGTCTGTCGAGATCACGTGTCGACTGGACTGGGACCGGAGCTCGGTCTGCCGAGGTCACGTGTCGTCTGGTCTGGGGCTGGAGCTCGGTCTGCCGAGGTCACGTGTCGTCTGGTCTGGGGCTGGAGCTGGGTCTGCCGAGGTCACGTGTGGACTGGACTGGGGCTGGAGCTGGGTCTGCCGAGGTCACGTGTCGACTGGACTGGGGCTGGAGCTGGGTCTGCCGAGGTCACGTGTCGACTGGACTGGGGCTGGAGCTGGGTCTGCCGAGGTCACCTGTCGACTGGACTGGGACCGGAGCTGGGTCTGCCGAGGTCACGTGTCGACTGGACTGGGGCTGGAGCTGGGTCTGCCGAGGTCACGTGTCGACTGGACTGGGGCTGGAGCTCGGTCTGCCGAGGTCACCTGTCGACTGGACTGGGGATGAAGCTCGTGTTGTCATTTGTCGACTGGACTGGGGCTGGAGCTCGTGCGGTCACGTGTCGACTGGCCGGGGGCTGGAGCTCGGTCTATCGAGGTCACGTGTCGTCTGGCCTGGGGCCGGAGCTCGGTCTGCTGAGGTCACGTGTCGCCTGGCGTGGGGCTGGAGCTCGGTCTGCCGAGGCCACGTGTCGTGTGGCGTGGCTGGGGCCATCGGGCCTTTGCTGTGTCAAGCAGTCGTGCTCTGCATGTTTACGGACTGTGCTCTCTGTGTGTCGACCGCCCCCACACTGTGAACCAACTGACTGAGAGTTCGTGTGTGGAGCTGCTATGTGTTCCGCCTGAGTGCTGTGGGCGTGGACAGAGTCTGATGTCCGTACCGGCTGGCCCTGCCCGGTTTGCCGACAGACTGTGGTGTAGGTATCGGGCGAATCTTGCCTTCGTGTCAACTGACGCTGTTGGGTGTACCGGCTGTTGGGTCTCCCTGTGTGCCGAGTGAACTTCTTGTTCGTATCGGCTGGCTCTGCGTTTTGTACGGGCTGACTGTTCTGGGTCTTGGTGTTGGAGGGTGTAGTAAGCATCAACGAGCTGTGCTGTGTTAACTAACCCTGTTTGGTGATGGTTTCGTGTGACTCCTCACCGACCGGCCGATGTATCTCGTCCATCAAAGGCAGCCTCTGAACGACTTAACAGCCGTGGCAGCCTTGTCGCCTCCTCGGCCAAGCACCTGCCGTGGTTGTAAATGTGAGGTTCGGATGTCGGGCGTGAGGCTCCCTGCCGGTTTGGCTGGCCGTCCTTTTGTGGTCCTGCCGCCCTGACCGACCTGACGTCCCCTCCCCGCGGTGCTGACGCCCGTGCCGTCTCCAGGGACGAGAAGCTTCGGCCGGCTATCTCGCCGTCCTGCTGTGGTCCTGCCGCCCTGACCGGCCCGACGTCCCCTCCCCGCGGTGCTGACCCCCGTGCCGTCTCCAGGGACGAGAAGCTTCGGCCGGCTATCTCGCCGTCCTGCTGTGGTCCTGCCGCCCTGACCGGTCCGACGCCCCCCTCCCCCGGCGCTGACCCCTGTGCCGTCTCCAGGGACGAGAAGCTTCGGCCGGCTATCTCGCCGTCCTGCTGTGGCCCTGCCGCCCTGACCGACCCGACGCCCCCCTCCCCCGGCGCTGACGCCCGTGCCGTCTCCAGGGACGAGAAGCTTCGGCCGGCTATCACGCGCATCCTGAAGATCTGGGACGACCGCGGCATCTTCCCGCAGGAGTTCATCGCCACGCTCACCAACGTCGTTAGCAACGTCAGCAAGGCGGACACCAAGGAGAACGCCCAGATCCTCTCCGACTTCAGGGTACGCGACTCCTGGGCGGTCGCAGCAGCGGCCGCGGGCCCGCTCGAATGTGGAACTGTTGGTCTGGGACGGTGGTACAGGCGGAGTACGGTGAACGGTGGCCTTTGCAACTCTCATTGATATGCCTTGCTGCTTGGGATAGGATGAAAGGCACGTCATTCGAACTCTGTACCTTCGGGAGCTTGTGATTTTAGAGGGTTAAGAGGTACCAGGCGTCTTTGGAGCTATTCACGCTTAAAAAGAAAGTGCAAACTCCCGTATTGTAGCCTTCTCTCGTTGACCACTACGCGAGGGATGCTCGCCGACGATGGCCAAGTCGGCAGTGTGCGCGGCTGGGGTTGTGTTGTCGAGGGGTGGGTTTGGTGCTGTGTGTACTGTTGTCACAATGGCGACCGGTAGTCGGGAGCCAAGGTGTTTCAATTCATTCCCAGGTTGTTTTACTTTTCAAGTGTAATGCGATTTACTGTCAAACATCATCCAGCAGCAAACCCTAATCATGCGCCAGATGCTAGGCGGCACAACAGGTATCAAGTCAAGCGTGCCATCCCATCACCAGTTTCGTTTTCCTCGGTTATCAGAGCCAGACGCCAGTGTGTGGCGGTGTGCTGACGTGGTAACTGGCCTTGTATGTGCTGAATATCGGCAGCCGTCACTGCGGCCCGGGGACCTGGTGTGCCCTCACCCGCCCGCGTGCCCCGCCGTCTCTGCGGCCCGGGGACTTGGTGTGCCTTCAGCCGCCCGCGTGCCCCGCCGTCTCACTGCGGCCCGGGGACTTGGTGTGCCTTCACCCGCCCGCGTGCCCCGCCGTCACTGAGGGCCCGAGCGCCTGGGCGTACCTTCACCCGCCCGCGTCCCCGCCGTCTCTGCGGCCCGGGGACTTGGTGTGCCTTCACCCGTCCGCGTATCCCGCCGTCTCACTGCGGACCCGAGGACCTGGGTGTGCCTTCACCCGCCCGCGTCCCCCGCCGTTACTGCGGCCCGGGGACTTGGTGTGCCTTCAGCCACCCGCGTCCCCGCCGTCTCTGCGGCCCGGGGACCTGGTGTGCTTTCACCCGCCCGCGTGCCCCGCCGTCACTGAGGGCCCGAGCGCCTGGGCGTACCTTCACCCGCCCGCGTCCCCGCCGTCTCTGCGGCCCGGGGACTTGGTGTGCCTTCACCCGTCCGCGTATCCCGCCGTCACTGAGGGCCCGAGCGCCGGGGTGTGCCTTCACCCGCCCGCGTCCCCCGCCGTTACTGCGGCCCGGGGACTTGGTGTGCCTTCACCCGTCCGCGTATCCCGCCGTCTCACTGCGGACCCGAGGACCTGGGTGTGCCTTCACCCTCCCGCGTGCCCTGTTGCAGACCAGCGACCTGATCAAGCACGTGCGGGAGGTGGACGAGACCGAGAAGGAAACGGACAAACGACTCAAGGCCATCAACGACGGCGAGTTCCACGTCTCGGACACGGCCATCGAGGAGCTGCGAGCCAATGTCAAGTGTGAGTGGCGCAGTCGGCCGCGCCGAGCAGGGCCGCTCCGGTGTCGGGTGGGGCCCCTCCGTCGAGCGCGTGGGAAGGGCGCACGCCGGACGGGGCGGACAGTGGGACGTGTTGTGGTGGCTTGTAGTGGACTGGCCGTCGACCGTTGGTGGGTTAGCTGTGGCGCGAACGGCCTGTCGCGTCTCTCCGTCCATCACCATCGCTGCGCGTCTCCCTGGCAACGCTGTGGGCCTGCCGAAGGCTCTCCGCACTCGCCGTGGTCCCCGACAGGCCCGCAGCCCTGGGCCCCTGGCGGTCCTATAGCCCTGGTCCGCGGCAGTCCCACAACCATTGGTGTCCTGACAGACGTACAGCCCTTGGGCCCCTTACAGTCCCACAGCCCCCGGTCCCCGACAGTTTTACAGCCACTGGGCCCCCGGACCGTCCTGCGGTTTCGGACCCCGACAGCGCTACACCCCCCGGGCCCCCGGCAGTCCTACAACCCTTCGTCTCCGACAGTTCTACAGCCCCTGGTCCGCGGCAGCCCCACAACCCCTGGCCCCTGACAGTCCTACAGCCCCTGAGCCCCTGGCAGTCCTACAGCCCCTGGTCCCCGACAGTCCTACAGCCATTGGACCCCTGGCAGTCCTACAGCCCCTGGTCCCCGACAGTCCCACAGCCATTGGACCCCTGGCAGTCCTACGGCCCCTGGGCCCCGACAGCCCCACAGTGCCGGCTCCCCCACAGCCCGTCGTCCCCTCCAGCCGTCCTCACCCGCCCGCTGACCGCCACGCCTACCGTCGGCAGCGCGTTCGCAGTCGAAGCTGTTCGTCAGCGAGCTGGAGGAGGGCATCCGCGCCGTGGAGCGGTACGTGTCGGCGCTGGACCGCGAGATCCAACAGCGCGCCGAGCTCATCGAGCAGCTGGAGCGCAGCGAGATCTACTACGAGACGCAGCGCAACGACGCCAAGGTGGTGGCCGTGGTACGTGGTCGGGCGGCGGTGGCGGCAGCACGCGGGCCGGGCGGCTGGGCGCCGGCGAGCGCGAGGAGACGCTACGTCGCCAGCTGCGCCTGTCCGTCGCCATGTTTTGGTCCGGCGGCGTGGACGGCGACATGTGCTTGGTAGGCCCCCGGGGCTTGATTAGTTTTGGATTAGAACGTTTCGCTTGCTATTTGTTAGATCACGACGGTGCCTGATGTTTCGAGATTGATGGCTATTTGGAAGTGTGTTGACATGCTGTTTTTGATATGGTATTATAGTTGTTAAACTGTTATTCGCTGTTCTCCATTCGTGGAGGGGAGGGGAAGTCCGTTGCCCGCTTGAAGCCGCGCCATGTCACCCCGGTGGACTGGGGCACCGGGACTGGACGTGTCTGCTCGGTGCAGTGCAGTCCTTCTACGCGCAGGCATACAAGAACTTCAGCAAGCGGGTGCGGGAGATGAAGAAGAAGGTGGAGGAGGGGCTGCCCGACCTCCCGGACGTGTCGCCGGTGCCGTCGCCAGACATCAACGCGCCCTCACCGACCAACTCGGACGACGGTCTGCAGCTGCCCGACGACGGTACGGTCTCCGCTGACCTTAGGGCAGGTCAGGTCAGGTCACCGACGTCCCCTACACCGCCCGGGACCGGGCCGGTCCTGCACAAACTCCAGTCACAGGGGTGTGGTCGGCAGCTGGGGTGGCGGGCCCCAGGGGAGCACCCGTCCGGCTCCCTCTCCCTGGCGATGCGCCTTGAACGCAGCCCGTGCTTGGGCTGGGCTGCTTGTGTTCTGGCGTACACGTGGTACATAACATTTCTTTGACCGTATTTTGTCATGGGATGACCTGAACTTGTTGATGTTTAGACCAATGTTTATTAATACTTAGTTGACATCACCATGTCTGGTAGTTCAGTTGACGTGCTGAATGACCTTCGTGGATAATTTTCACTGTCTTGCAGTAATACCTTTGAATTTTTGGTGCATGTATTGGATTGAGAAACCTGGTAGGAATAAAAACAGGTGTGTTCGCGCAGTTATTGCACTTTTGCGTTCCGTCTTTTGGCTTTAATATCGTGATCTTCAATGTTTGGAACACTCCACGGTCACTGTTAGTCGCGTTCTTTTTTTAACCGTTTTGTAATTTGGAAGTCTTGTAACGGTTTTGTAGTTATTTTCTTCTATTGCAAAGCGATGGTGATTGTTCCCTGTGTTGTGGATCTGGAGGGACCGCGATGAAAACTGCGCTTCTTTTTTGAGTGCATGACATTGTACTGTGCTTTGTTGTTGGTTCGCACAGTCCGTCCAGAGGTCACAGGGTCCTATCACGTGCAGCCGAGACATTTGTTTTCACCGCGTGGAAGACGAATCATGGACTGGTCCGTTTGCATAGTTGGGCTGGGCTCATATTTACCTGCTGCTTTTGGGAAGCCTGACTCCACTACAGGGGCCAAGATTGTATAGTCACGTGCCAGTCGTCGGACCGTCTCTAAGCGTCGGTGAGAGATGCATTGGGCGGTGTGTGGAGCGCGTCCGTGTGTACAGCGGCTGCTGTGTGTGTGCATTCAGCCGGGAGCAGCGACAAGACGGACCCGCGGTCGGAGATCGAGCGTCTTCTCGGCAGCTGGACGTCCGGCAACACGTCCAACAGTCCCAAGGTGAGAGCGCTGCCGGGTGACGCGGCGCCTCCGCTCGGCCGCTGTCAGCACCGGACCCCGACCGTGGCCGTCGCCTGGTCGTGGCCGTCTCCTGTTCCCGGCCTTGCCTGCGCCGGTACGTCGGCGGTCCCTGTCAGCCCGGTCGCTGCACGGCTGGTGCTCTCCCCGGCTCTCTGGCGTCCGTTTGCCATGGCCGCGGCGGCATCAGTGACGTGCAGCTCGCTGTCTGCGCGTCAGCTGGCTCATGTGGTCGCGCGGACCCGCCGCTGCCTGCCGGGGTAAGTACGCCAGCTCTCACACGTAGCCTGCCGCTCCTGGAATGATCGTCGATATTGGGCACGGGGTGAGGCAATGTTCGAAGGCCTGCTTCCGCGTAGCCGTCGAAAGTTAGCTTTACTCGTCCTCGGCTCCACCGATCGTACCTGGAGAGTGGAACGGCTTGGCAGCACCACGGCTGGGATGGTGGGGCTGATAGCCGGGTCCCGTCGCCCGTCATCTGTCCAGCTCCCTCGTGCGCTGTTCGATCGCTGCTCGTGTGCGAATCACAGGATGACTGTTACTGGTGTGAATTCGGCCATTCAGACCATAACCCTCCGTCGTTGAAAGTTGACGACAGCCTGTGTCTCGAGTCGTATCGCCCGCCCCCGCTCATAGCTCGGCTGTCCGCTCCACGCCCCCTTGCGCCCTCGCCTGGCACCAGCCGGTCCGTGCCACGCCTGGTCTCGGCCGGTCACCGGGCCGCCCCGGACCGCCCCCACCCCCGACTGGTCCTCTGACGCCGGCCGGCCGGCGCGCGTCGTCAGTCGACAGGCGCGCCGGAGAACGGCGCCCCGTCCGGCCTGGCCGGCCTAGCGGCGGCGGCCGACGGCGCGGCCGGCAGCTTCCTGGGCCTGGCGGCGGCCGGCGGCGAGCCGTTCCCGGCCGCGCTGGCCGCCGACCTCTTCCCGAGCCGCAGCCCGCTGGCGACGCTGCTGCCGGGCCGCGACACGCCGCCGCCGCCGCCGCCGCTGCCGCCGGCGCCGGCGCTGCCCGCCGAGTCAGGCTCCAGCATCACGGTGGTGACGGGTGTGCAGCAGGGCGGCACCGTGTCGGCGCGCGACACGCCGCTCGAGGACGATCACGACTATGTGAGTGCGCCGGTGTCCGGCCGGTCTCCCGGTTTCGGCCTGGGTCGCTGCCGCGTGGGCAGCGTATACGGCAGACGATTCGTCGCACCGCTGGATGAAGGCTGCTGTGCTCTTGACTTTGGAGTGTATCCAATTGTCTGATTTGTGTTTGTGTTGCGTGTCTTACATGCGTTATGAAACATGCCAATGTTGTATGCAAAAGCGCGCTGCATACACGCTGCGAGTGACCGGTGTTCCAGCCGCGTCAATCCCTGTGTCTGAAGCCGGAGTATGACGGCCACGCCCTGCGCCGCAGGAGGACGACTACGAGGCGGGCCCGTCCGGTGGCCAGCTGTCCGACTTCATGCGGCTGATCGGGCAGAAGCTGCAGGCGAGCGCGGCACCGGAGCCGGCGCGGACGTTCACCAGCCAGCCGCCGCCGCCGGCCGCGTCTGTCGTGCAGATCCCAGGCCTGGACCTGACGCGGCCGCCGCCGGCGCTGCCCGGCGCCTCCCAGCCGCCGGCCGGCGCCGGACTGTGGAGCTTGCCGCCGCCGGTGCCGCCGCCAGAGCGCGCGCGCTCCTGGGAGGAGCCGCCCGACGCGCCCTGCTCGCCGCCCCAGTACGAGAAAGGTAACAGCGCGTATAACTCGCAGATTGACCTCCCCCCAGCGTTCAAGGCGGTGGAGGAGAGCCGGCTGCCTTTCAGCACGGACACGGACCACCGCGTGCTGCCGCCGCCGCTACCGGTGCCGCCGCCCACCGCCGCTGCCGTCGCCGCCGCCGCCGTGCCGTCAGCCGACTCGGACCTGCGGCAGCCGTCGGTGGCCGACTCGGACCACCGGCTGTGGGATCGCAGTGTGGACGACTTCATCTCGCAGGTGACGGACAGGGATTACCGGCGGCGCGGAGACGAGGACTACCGGCCGCCGCTGACCGACCTGGCCGGCGACGACGACCACCACTCGCTCGACATGGAGATCTCCGACGACGAGGGGCGCCGCGCGTCCGGCGGCACGCCGGGCCGCGCCGCCCCGGTGGGGACCCCGGGCCGCGGGTCGGCCACCGTCCCGACCGCCGAGGTCATGGTGGTGTCGCCGGGCGCCCCCGCCTCGGCGGCGGCCCCTCCCGAGCTGGTGCACATCGACGACGACGAGCCGGAGCGGGACGTCGCCGCCGACGAGGCGGAGGCGGACGAGCCGAGCCTCTCGAGCTGGTCGTCGAGCGTCGGCTCGCCTGAGCCGGAGGAGGGCCGTAGCGAGCGGCACCGCAGTCGTGAGCACCGCAAGAAGCGCCGCCGCCGCGACAGCGCCGGCCACCGGCACAAGAAGGAGCGGCACCACTCGGCCAGCCGCACCGGCAAGCGCGACCGTCGGCCGTCGGGCGAGGCGCGCCGGCGACGCTCCGACAGCGACGAGCGCGACGAGCGCCGCCGCCGCGACAAGCACGCTGTCAGGGCCAAGAAGAGGCGCTCGTCGGAGCGCGAGAAGGAGCGCCCGCGCGACAAGGACCGCGAGAAGGGACGCTCGCGCGACCGCGACAGGGAGCGCGAGCGCGAGAAGGAGCGCTCGCGAGAGGAGCGCGAGAAGGGCCGCTCGCGCGACCACGGTCGCTCGCGCTCGCGTTCCAGGGAGCGCGACCGCAGCGAGGGCCGGCGCCGGAGCGGCGGCGGCGGCTTCGACTACAGCCAGGTGGGTGCCGGCGCGCACAAGGCGGGCGGCAGCGGTGCGACGCACCGCGACAGAGGCAGTCGGCGTTGGTAAGGCCGGACTGAGCGGGGCAGGCGGGCTGCCAGTCGACGACACGTGTTTGCAGGGATACGTAGGCGGTGGGGCGTCTTTGGCGAATGGAGGCTGTAACCGAGTTGACGTGAAGCTTGCGTTTTGACTGGATGTTCCAGCGTGATTTATGGATTTCTTTGTTTCATTTTTGCTGTTCACTTTATTGGCTTGCGTTCGGCGGGCTGCCTAGTTAAGCTTGTATATCGGCATTTTGCTGTGACGACCGGCAAGTGAGCGCTGTATCCGACGTCGGAGATCGCCGTCCGCTCGCCTGCGAGCGAGCTGTCGCCTCCGCGCGGCGCTAGCTCTGTACGAGTCGGCGGGCCGGCCCTGTGCGCCGGCGACATATCGCGTTCGCGTGATGTCGGCGCTGTAGTGACCTGTGCGGTGCGCGCGCGAGCAGTGTGTGTGTGTGTGTGCATGTGTGCACTTGTCGCGCCGACGAAGCTGTCTGAACGGGCACGGTGTAGTAGAGTAAACGTCCTGTCCGCGCCAAAAGAACGATGCCACGTCGATCTCTGCTTTGATTGGAGGTGGGCCGTGCCGAAAATGAACGTGCGCAGACCATCGCTTGCCGATCCGTCTGGACTCGGCGCCTTTTGGTCGCCGCATCTCATTCTCGGTGACCTGCTGAGCTCCAAGGAGGGCATGTCCTAGTTTCGATAGAGAAAGGTTGAGGAGAGTCGACAGAAGTCTCTTGATCGGCATTTGGCCGTGAAGAAGTTGTAATTGGGAGGCTGTTAATAGTCGGTGGTGGCAATGTTATGAAAAAGGGCGAATAGGGTTGGGGGACTGCCCTAAGGAACGTTGAAAGATTGGTTCACAGGCGCAGGAGGACTTGAACCCGTGAAAATAGGAGGAATTGACAGCAGATGAGCAGTATGGTCCATGGGCGACTTAAAAACTTAGGCGCCCCATGAAAGAAGACCGTTGCCGGTGAAAAAAGGGGGTTTCTGCAGTAGACTAGGAGACCAACCCATAAGAGACTGGGAGACAACGCTGAGTCGGGGACACTTCGCAGGACAATCTCGAATCCCCTCTCCTAAAACCCCTCTCCAGGGCACCTTAACAATGTTCCATGGAAGATGAGGTGAATGTTCTATACGATCCACAGACGAATTGGCGACCGTTCCGCTTCAGTGTGTGCGTGGGGGGGGGGGGGGGCTATTCCACTTCGTCGCGCGCAACTAAGTCAACTCTGCGAGGCGGTAGGAGACCTTCATAGTTGGCTTGAGGCCTGTTGCTCGGCAGGAAGGGTCTTAGGGGACTGCTTCACGTGAGACCAAGACTTCCATGGGGGACACGGGCGATATGTTAATCGATATTTAGATGTTTTAGTGGTCGACTCCTGAATTAATGCGTGGGCATGTGCAGTGGCAAAGAATGTATGGAGGGCCTGCCTTTGGCGATGGGTGTGTAGATGGTGCAGACCCCCCCCCCCCCCCCTCCTCCCCCTGAGGTCCTGCTATGTGCTATTTGGCGCTCCCAGACAGCAAGGCGATGTCCTGGAGCAAAGAGCCCTGCGGTGGCCGCTGCATTTTGGTCCGCCGCTCCGACCACGAACGTGTCACGTCCGGTGGTGCAGCAGGTCCTTGTGCAGCTTCCAGATCATTCATGGGGCTGTCAACGGACACCGGTGCAGACAGCCACGTGGGCGCGCTGTCCACTGACGCCCCTAGAAAAGACCAGAGGCTCCACGGCAACCTCTGCGCCGCTGCACGGTGGACGAGCATGTCGTGGCAGCAACGTTAGCCGGCCTGTGTCGTGTGACCTATTTGAGGCCTGAGCTGGTCGTTTTCTGTCAGGTTGTGGGTGGTGTCAGGGATAAAGAGAACGCGGCCTTGGCTTCGGTGCTGCTGTTTACGCCAGTGGTGAGGGATTTAGAGGATACTGCGCCGTCCGTCTGCAGGTCAGATCAGAAGTGCTTGTTGGTCAGGTCAGTTTAGAATCGCACGAAATTGTCATCAGATGGATGAATCCCCGTGGCTGATATTACAGCCTCTTCAGGTCGATGCCAGCTGGCGCTTAAGTAATCGTGGAAGGCAACGACGGCTATCCGCTTGATTGGGATTTTGAGCGGCTTTACTAAAGTTTCTACTGATGTTTCGGAGGAAGTTGTGGAAATGATTGAGGTCTTTGCTGGAATTGTAGAGCGTGGGAAGCATCTGCAGGAGGTGGAAGCTCGCCGGAAGAAAATCAGCACTTATTGAGCGTTCACCGGGCACTGAGACGCGTAATGACCAGGGGCCACCAATTTTTGATGGGGGGACCAAGTCGTGTAAGATCATCAGGACACTTGAATAAAGGGAAATTAATAAGAGATTACGCGTCTTCTAACTGGCGTTTTCGAAAATGATCATTGCTATGCAAATCCCACATGTGTCTGGGGTTGCGCCACCGTGAGGCGTGGAGGCTCGGAAACCGGGGAGGGGGCAGGGGCTGAGACCCACGACTTTCTGAAAATCTAGTATCGACACTTTGAACGTGGACTGGAGTGAAACGGTCCAAATGGAATGAAACAATATTTTGTTTCCGCTCCATACGGGCGGAAACAAAATATCGCCGTGTCGGAACCACTCAGTGCAGTGTATCCAGACCAGCAGCAGTGCCAAAAGTTTCGCATGGTGATATTGCATGCATTTTTATGTCGTAGGTACACTCTGCCCTGTACTGTCGGTTCCAAAAGTGTTGACTGTTTGCTTGTGGAAAAATCGTAATCGAGAGGAAAGCCGGCCTTCTATTATGCTCTTCATAAAGCATCCCAACGATGCGCTGCTTGAGGATCACAGAATTCGCATATTCCTTCCAGGTTCCAAAGCAACGCCGCTTATGGCGGTGTCTAAAGCGCAGCCAAACGTTCTTCGGCCTGATGAGTTTGGGCTAGCAAAATCGATTGCGGCGTGGACTGGATCCATTTGTCCCTGGCGGCGAGGGCCAGCACGTAACGCACTGCCGCTGCGTTGTCCCTGCGCTGCGCGTCACCATTAGGCGAAGGCAATTTTCATACTCTGTCGCGCGCTGAAGCTGTGTTCAGGTGCGGCTGAACTGGCAGGCAGATATTGAGAAGACGACCAAGGTTGACGAATTTGGGGATGGGTTCCCGCGCGTGGTGCGTCACATTTTGAGTAACGGACAGGGGAAGGTAGCAAATTAGCCACCAGGGGCTATATCTGCCCACTGGCAAATGCGAAGGGGCGTTTCCCTCTTGTCTCGCTGGTGGTGCTGCGCCGGGGTGTGTCTGTGTGGCTGGTATTCACAGCTCTGCGCGACCCGGAATAAGAATATTCCGAGCTTGAAAAGAGTGAAAAAATGAATGAAACCGTATCTTTTCGGGTAACATGACGACGTAGTGTGCTTCAAGCAAAGCGCATTTCAAGTATGCTTTCATGTAAAATGCGGGTTGAAAACCCATGACGGGCTGGTTGGGACATGTGGGACCCCTTAAAGTTTTCTTTTTTCAGTACGCCGTGGAAATGAAACGACACAAAGCCCGCGAAATCTTTAAAATACCTCCAAAATCATGCGAACTTGGATATAATTCCTGCGTAATCGCGTAGTGCCTGGTGTAAAGCTCCTGGCACAGTGGGCTGGGCTCCCTTTCACACTACCCTCGGCTCCGTCCAAAAATTTCCCCGCATTTTTTTCTAAATATTGTCCGCTATTGTGGACGGTGTTGCAGCTCAGGTCAGTGACAGGGGCTAGATGAACTGAAATAACTTCAAGAAAACCATTTGCCACGGTTTGGTATTTAACTAATAGCTCATTTTATTTAAATGAGTTAACCGCTGAAGGAATTTCCAGGAATCGAAAGATATAAGGCGTGTCACGCATGTGCCTGATTGGCAGTGATGCAGAGAATACGGGCCCCGTCACCCGGGAGTAATACTTTGAAGTCGTGTCTTTCCAGTTCGGCCAGCCACTGAGGGAATACTTACTGAAACCCGTTCCGCTGCAAATTATGAGACCATAGAGGGCTTAAATATTAAACAAGACCAATGAATGTGCATATGACACGTAACGGGGCGCTTCAGCAATGTTCATGAAAGTTGTCCATAATTAGACAAGCTACCAGGGTTCCAACTTTTCGGACTTCCACCTCATACTGATGTGGGCTACCGCAGTGACTTGCTTTGCATTTAAGATATCCCCGTTCATTGAACGGATGATACCAAAAAAGGAACTTAAAATTTCGCGTTGCTCCGCGCCGGCGTTTTTTTCTTCTTCTAAGCCTTGGAAGCGTTAAGAGGATGGATTTCTGTCGCGCCGGCTATCGTCATCACTATTGGGGCTGTACGGTGCACACAGCTGCGGGGGCTAAGTGGCTTTGCCTGTTTCTCACCCTGGCAAGAAGAGGGGGACACCGCGGGCCGTCCCTGGCTGAGACCGGCTGAGAGCTCGTTTTCGTTTCAAATCGGAACTTAATTGCACCAACACTGTTGGAATGGCAATTATTCCAAGAGTAACGATGCTGGTTTTAAAAAGTCCCCTTCAACTGCAAAAGTTCATCCAAATTGCCGTACAAAGTGTCGTTCCGGGTCCCTGGAGTACGGTAGGTAAAGAAAAAAAATATTCCGGCCAGGGGCGTATTTTCGCAAAATAAGTTGGGGATGAGGATTATAAAAATTGTTCCACTGCACCCAGAGTATGGTACACAAACAGGCTCCTCCGCGGGTCCTTGCTCACTTTCTTCCCAAAGACGGAAGAGAGCTGAGGCCAAAGTGGGGATAGGCTGACAGCCTGTCCAACTGAAAAGGAAAACTGCGCTACTTATCTCGCGCTATCATGCGAGGCACCTATGCACAAAATGTAGGTGCGGTATGAATGGAAAGCATACGCAAAGTTGCGGGACTGGATCTATTTGAGTTCTAAAGCTTCTGCAAAAACACGATTGAAACGCTGATAGCACGTGACGGTCATTGGCGGAGATCGTACGAAAATAGCAATCGCACTTGGGGGATCAATGATGTTGCATTGTAGCGCGT